CTACCACAGGGCCTCCACGGGACCCCCACGGTAGGTCTGTTCATGCAACCGCACGGTTTTTAGCCCCGGGGCAAACAGCCGCACGGTTTTTAGCCCCAGGGCAAACAGCCACGCTCCCCCCCCCGCATTTTCCTGCCCGTGTGCCCGCAGCCATTATAGGGTTGTTTTGAGGATAAAAGTGGGAAGGAAAAATGCTGTAAGCCATCCTGAGTTCTTTAGAGGAAGGGGTAGAATTTTATAAAATACTAGATATATCAGATTAAAATGCTCAGAAATGCAGGATCTAAGTCTGACATTTTAATCCAAAACTCTGTACAAGGTAAGTACAGTGACCATTCACAACTGTCAGCAATAACACAGTCTTCCCAGTTAAGTGAATGTAATACCTGTTGTGGGCGAGACATGAGTTGTCTGTATTTAAACATTGGTAGATACAATTAAACTTATTGACACAATTTAATTCAGCAATTTCACACTGGAGTCTTACAGTGCCAAAAGAATCTTGTTTGCTTTAGCTGTAACATGCTCCCCTATGAATTTGTGGAAGGAATATAAAGCCCTAGCCCAGTTTCTGTGTCAGCTGCCATGGAAAGCATACTGGGTAGCTAGCTGACTGGTTAGCACAAAAGTCCATGATTGTGCTGGAGCTGGAGTTATTGCGTGTGAGGGAAATTCTCTGGGTTTGTTTCTCAGAGCAGCTCTCTTGCCTGCCTTTGTCTGTAATTTCAAAAGAGGTTTGGCAGAGCAATAATTTTTATTTTTTTGGATGACATTTCATTGTGGTGTGTTGTGGGTATCTTTCCAAGAGCTAATTCCGCCTCCTTTTCAATAATGAAGAGTAACAGCAGAGAAACAAAAAAGCCCCACAAAGCAAACGATCAGTGAGGATGTCAGGCCCATTCCAGAGCCTGCTGGAATAAAGAGGCTCTTTGGGAATGTTAGAGCTTCATCAAGACCAATTAGCAGGAGATGCTGCTGGTTGTGCTGGGGCATTAACTACTGGGCAGGGTTGGTTTTCTGGAGTGGCTAATGCTAGCATTGAACAAGGCACCGACCTAATTACTCCAACTGCAAGAGCAGAGGAGGCCTTGTGAATGTCTGTTTGGCAAGCCTATCTCATTAAGGACGAAATCTCCTTGTGTTTGTTTGGACTGCTAGGAGCAAAAAATTAACACGATAGGTAACCTGTGGCCATGAGGTTTCCTTTGTTGCTGTGGGAAATGCAGTGACGCCAGTCACACCAGAGGATGGCTTGATTACTTTCCAGAGATGTGATGACGTGAAACTAGCTATTGTTTTCCCCCAAAAGTTGATTGTCTCCCCCTGGTTTGTAAGGTACTGCATTTAGAAGACAGGCATAGAGAACACCCTTCCATTGTAGGAGCATAATTAAACCAATGCTTGAGCTCAAGGGGCTTTAGTGCATGAATGGCCAAATGATGACAATTATCAAGAGAAACAGGTTCTCCCCCACCCTAGATTTTAAGGATTGATTCATCCTTGGAAGGACATTATGTAATATGTAGTGGAAGGTTCAAATGGATGACACAGTTACACGCATGTTGCTTTCCTTTTCACCCACTGGATAAAGCAAACAATGAGGTTAGTCACATGACCATTTTGTAGCCTATAAAAAGTGCATCCTGTATGTGTTGGATGGGAGACCAGATGTTCCAGTTTTTCAGTGTTATCCCCATACTTGAATCCAACTTCCTTTCATGAAAAGAGCCTGAAGAGAGAAAATAGGGAGCACTGACGGGCAACTAGATTCAGGCCAATTTTAGTCATCTTCTGAACCAATTCATCCCTTCCTTTTTACACGCATCCCTTACACACCAGAAGCTGGTGGTATAGATGTATTTTTCTCACTCTTCAGAAATTCTGTTTGAGAATCTCTCTGTTTCATGTTGTCATGAATAGTAGACGAAATCACATGATGATACTGCGTGGGTCTTGAAAAAATGCATAGGATAGTCATATAATCAAAGGGACCGGCATTTCCAGTTATGCGTTTATGCAAGCACATCCTTAGTCATCCATTGTCATGTCTGGGCCACATGAATAATACATCCTAATTTTGACCTGTGATAAAATATTTTCATTTTTTGTTATTTCCTAAACTCACTAGACTGGATTGTGAATATTCTCCTGCTATTTATTGAAAGAATCCATACCTTTGAGGATCTGGATCTTAGAATTATTGAAAATATAGAAACATATGTACCTAATTTACGTTATATTTATATATTTATATTATATTCATCATATTTTGCCCTTTCATCAACAATTGGGTACAGTTTATACCTGCTGTCATGGGATCATTTATTCTTTTCAGTAGTCAGTATTTTCATATCTGTTCTGCAATATGTGGTTAAATATGTGGTGTGGCAGCTAGGGGTGGGGAGGAAGCTCTGAGGAAACTGCCTTCTAGACTGAAGAATATCTAGCCCCCCACACACACAAACTCTGGCCTCTCCTGTAGATTCTTTATACCCCAACCACTCACATTCAAATAAAAAAGGGGGCACACAACCTTTAAAATAAAGATTGGTAGCATGTAAGGTGTATGCTTCCTAAAGGTCTCTTATATGGAAACCTGCTAGGCTAAGGCTGTACTTATCTTTTTTTTTCTTTTTTCCCCTTTGATGAGTGCTTTTATTTATTTATTTTTAATAATTTTTGTTACGAAAAGACATTATGGGACAACAATGAAAAAAGAAAAAAAACACATTGCAAGACAAATGTAATACAAACATGAAACTTCGAGAATAAACATAACCCATTGTAAGTACTTATCTTTGAAGTAAATAGAGACCCCTTGACAGATAAGACACAGGTGGAGATGAACAACAAAAGTGTATTCCACAGAAAATAAAGTATTTAATCAGGAAGACATGATGCGTGGATATAACTTAGATATATAAAGTAAAGCTGGCACTCAAATAAAGTAAATAACCCCTGAGGTTTATATACCCTGATTTCTTCCCTAAGCCGACCCTCAAACCCAAACTAAAATGCCAAATACAAGCCTGGCTACACTGGCTTCTTTCCAGAGCCACAAAATTCCTATCCAAAAGTTTTGAAAAAAGATTTCTTCACCCATCTTAAACTGATGCTGGCTCACCCTCTCCCATACAGTGAAATTCCATGGGCTCTGATTGGCTGACAATTGCTTGAATTTGCATGAGGCCTGAATCACAAGGATTGGTTCAGAGCCCTGGACGGGATTTTAAGGATGGTTGCCACATAGGTTAGTGAGTTTTCTCCCCACTCCCCCCCAGTGTTCCCTCTAAGCAGAGTTAGTGTGAGCTAGCCCACAGTTTTTTAGCCTCTGGCTCACACATTTTTGTCTTAGCTCACGAAAGATGGCCCCAGAGCAAACTGATTTATTTAATGCTCACAACTTTAATGCCAGTAACTCACAAAGTAGAATTTTTGCTCACAAGACTCCATGGCTTAGAGGGAGCATTGCTCCCACCCCCAGTTTTCTGATTTTATCTTTGGTTCTATCTACTTCTTCCCACTCAGTATAATACTTCATGAGTCTAAGGATATGAGTTGTGGCTCATGAAAGCTTGTATCATACACAACAGTAAATGTGTTAGTATTTGTGGTACCATAAAACTCTTTGTTGTTTTGGCTGCAGTGGATTAGCAGGGCTACCTATTGGGATATTTGGTTAATATAGCAGAGTTTTATCCAGTCATAGAAGAGTCATACTGAGGGCAGTAAATAAATCTCCCAAGAAGTATAAGGCAAAAAAAGCTAAACTTTTATTCAAGTGAATCCAGGTCACATTCAGTTTGCATTCAAAAGAAGAGAAAGAAGCCTATCTAAAAAGTACTATCCCTACCACAAATGGCCAGCTTGTCCAGCATCATGGGTATGGGAGTATGAGGGCATTGTATCTACAGGAGAAACCTGCAGAGATGTGTGTCTCCATGGAAGGCCACGTAAAGAAAGTGAGAGGACAAAGCAAGACAGAGAGCAGGGGTCAGAGGGCAGCTCCCAGGTTAAGACAAAGAGAGGCATCCCATTCAAGGAGATAGCGCCCCCCCCCAATCTCCAGATATGCTGAGTCACTTACTCCAACAGTACCCACCTATGTTTTTTTTGGGTTTTTTCGGTATGTATGTATTTGTGTGTGTGTGTGTACCTGGAAGTCATGGCGACCTCTGGTGACTGACTGTTTGTGCACCTAGAACTCATGGCAACCTCCAGTGACTAATCCCTACTGGGGCCCTGGAGGATATTCAGGGATGTGGCTGAATAAAGTCTGCCCCTGCCTCCTGCCTCAGGTAATTCAAGGAGGTCTCCCATCCAAGTACTTGCCAGAGTTGACCGTGCTTAGCTTCCAAGATCTGATGAGATCGGGCTTGCCTGGTTTATCCAGGTCAGGGCCCACCTGTGGTTTTTGTTTGTTTTGAAAAATTATTGTGAACTTTATTGTCTAGTGGGTCTCATGCTATGAAACTGTTAATTTACAACAGCCATAGAGAAAATAATATTGTTTTTGGAAATAGTTTGTGGATATAAGATTGAGCCTGAGGGATTCTCCAGATCATGTGGTCCCTCCTCCTTTTCTTCTTACACACCAGGCAGATATTTAGAGATTTCTATGTTCATGTCTATAGTATGATGTTACGTTTCAGTCAGCAAACTGTGGTTTTCCATCAATCTGGGATTCCAAGCTAGGAGTCGTTTGCCATTTTTGATGTAACAGTTAGCTACAGTTTGCCGCAAAGCAGGAAATGTCTAAGTAGATGGCTCCATGTAATTAGAGGAAGGGGCATGTGAACCTGAGATTTCCCCCAGATTCATTCATATAATCACAAAGTATGGTTTTGAACCATCTGAATTTAGCCAGATATTGCCACCTATAAACAGGATGTTAAACAAAGAATTGTTGTTTGAGCGGTTCACTGTTAATTGCTTTTTTAAAGCAAACCTGAAAGACAAGTGGCAGTGGATCACTATAACTTATCATGTCTTTGTTTTAGGTGAAACTTGGTGGAGAAGCTCCTAACTCCAATGTGATTCACATTGCTAATGGCACTGATGAGAGCACCACCAGATGGAAAAGCTCCAGTGGGAAGTATGGAACTGAATGTCACCTTCTAGACTTTGCCTCTTCGGAGCGTCCATTAGTAGTCAACTTTGGCTCAGCCACCTGACCCCCCTTCACAAACCAGCTGTCGGCCTTCGGCAAGCTGGTGGAAGAGTTCTCCAGTGTGGCTGACTTTCTGTTAGTCTACATTGATGAGGCTCACCCATCAGATGGCTGGGCTGCTCCTGGTGTCTCGTCCTCCTTTGATGTAAAGAAACACAGGAACCAAGAAGACAGATGTGCAGCTGCTCACCAGCTCCTGAAGCGTTTTTCTTTGCCACCTCAGTGCCAGATCGTGGCAGACTGCATGGACAATAATGCCAATGTGGCCTATGGTGTCTCCTTTGAGCGTGTGTGCATAGTACAAAGACAAAAAATTGCCTACCTGGGGGGCAAGGGTCCCTTTTTCTACAATCTCCAAGAAGTTCGACTTTGGTTGGAGCAGAACTTTAAGACGAGATGAACTTCAGACAACTTCAGGAAGAAGTGAAATTCAAACTTACAGAAGAGCCTAGGTTGATAGTACTGCCCCTCTAGAGTGATGCTGAAGGGAAAGAAACTGATCCTGTTTTGAATAGGCTCCTTTTGGCTTGTGGCAGAGAAGAAGGTTTAATGACAAGGTCAAATGAACACACTAGACAAAAAAAAAATCCATAATGTGCTTGAGAACTGAATTCCCTTTGCCTGCCCAACAGGGAGTTGAGAATTTTTTTTACCTTTAAGGCTGCTAGATGGTTGAGATGATATTTCTGTGCTTTGAGTAGGTGACTGTTGTATTTGATGCAGGAAAGCACTGCTTCCAAAAAACAAAAACAAAGCCCCCCTCTCCAGTTCATTTTGGAGGCTCATCCATGACCCAAGACCAAGGGGTATCTCTTTATCCACCGGTATTTGAGATATGCAGTTGTCATAAAAACAGAACTTTTTGTGATAGAGAGGTACGATGTTATAGATGATACATATTTCAGTATCCACTACAAACTGACTAGTTGGTCAGTTGTCCTCTTTTTCATTGCAACTAGAAACATGTGTTCACAACTGGAAAACTTTCTTTGCAGTATAGTCTAGCTACAATCCTGTAACCTTTAAAATCTAGAGCAGACTAATTGATGCCAGATGATGGAATAAAGGGTTCTAAGATTTCAGGTTATATAGTCACGTTTGAGCCGTTTAACTGTGGTTTCAGGCTCTAATGGAATATTAAAGATTTTACAGTAGTTGCCAGTGTGGGAATGACTCAAGCTATTTTTGGATCTCAGGTCATACCCTGCAAACTAGTTTCCTTATACTATGGTGGCAGAAGAGCCCATTGTTCATTAGACTGATTCAGACAACCCCTATGCCTATCAAAGCGTGTGGCCCTGCATCGGCAAATGAGTCTTGGATGTGTTGTCTCAGGGGAAAGATACCCTAAAACAGTGCTTCTGAACCCACAAGTAAGAGCCATGGGAACATGTCTTTAAAGCCACACAATATTTTTCCTGCATGGAGACAATTTCATGTAGAGAATAACAGATATAAACTGGGTGAGAAGACACTGCATGTACCACAAGATACTCTCTATGTTGAATAGAAGAACCATTGTCCATGCTGCAGTCCTTAGGGGGAGCAATAGGAAGATACGTACAGCAGAATAAAGATAGAACAGAGGGGGAAATGTGCAAGAAAGAGCCTGTTGCAGAAGATCCTATTTCAAAACTTCTGACACTGGGACTGCTCAGACTTACCGCTGTTGTATCAAGTGCAAGTGCTGGCAGTCACACAAGTCCTAGACTAGAGCTGACCTCAGTTAATGCTAGCCCTGAATGCATGGAACTGAAACAATTTATTTATCAGAGTGCTTGCTTCCTTTTCTAAAGAAAACAGCAACAACCCAATGCAGTTAGAACTAGGAGTTACTGTGTGTTTAGATCTTTTAAAAAATAATTTATTGCATTTGGAAACAATGATGCAAAAGGTGTATTTTTGTGTAAGGGGAAAAGAAAGGGGAGGGGGAGGGGGTTACACACCACTTTACCTCATTGGTATTGAAACATTGTCCATTAGTTAAATGTGTTTTGTGTCGATTTATTTCCCCCTTTGCTCCTAGAAGCCTGCAATTAGTTTTTAATCATACTAGTTTGTTGAGGTTAGTTCAGCATGAAAAAGACTTCAGCCACAGGGCTATTGAACTGCAGTGCTGTGGCAGACCAGGGCCTTTGCCTATCTTCCATGTCCTATGAAACATTCCTGTTGGTGGCAGAGCTGCTGCCCTTGTTCCTCATTAAGAGGTGGTTGAGGAGAACTAGTTTTGTGAATGGGCTGGATTTTTATGAGAGTGGGATACTGTGAAGTTGTTTTGAAAACTGGTGACATTTGGAGTGCAGTCCAACCAGGGAAGTCTTCTGCATAGGGCTGCCAGCTTTGGGTTGGGAAATCTTAGGGATTCCAGGTTTCACTTGGGCACTGGTGGGGGAGGGGGGCAGAGTTGCAGATCCAGGTTGTAACTCCTGGAGATTTGCAGATGGAGCCTGGGGAGAACAAGGACCTCAGTGGGGTACAGTGCCACAAAGTCCATCCTCCAAAGCATCCATTTTCTCCCAGGGAACTGATCTCTGTAGTTTGGAGATGATCTGTAATCCCAGGATATCCCCAGGTCCCATCTGGAGGCTGACATCCCTAGGAACTATTTGGAGATTTTGGGGTTGAAGCCTGGGGAAAGCAGGGCTTGGGGAGGGGAGGGACCTCTGCAGAGTACAATGCCACCCTCCAAAGCAGCCATTTTCTCCAGAGGGACTGGTCTGTATTGTCTGGAGAGCAGTTGTAATAGTAGGAGATCTGGCCCCACCTGGAGGATGGCAACCATACTCTTGCACAAGCTCCAGTGAAATGAACAAGAAGTGTGCAAGAGCACTAAGTAAGAAAACATCCTCATGGATTGTCAATTTGGACTGAAGTATTCTTTATTTTTGTGTAACATGAAGATTAGGAAGGAAGGCAGATGGCATACAAGCCTATTTTCCTTGATTGTTCTTTCAAAACTGCAAAACAGCAAACAATATAATCAGTGCTGAGCATTCAGTGATGGTTAAAGTCTCCCCACCACCACCCAAAGTTGACAATGTTGCTTTACTCTTAGTTTTGGCTAATGCACAAAGACATGCTTTAGAACGTGTTTCTCCATACTGCAGGTATGCAAACTTGACAGTAAAATATGAATGCTATTTTGCTGATATTCACCTGCATTCCTTCCCTTCCTTCTATGTACACAGTGCACATGGGCGCACAAATACTGGTAAAGTATGTCAGAGAAGCTGTGGGCAAATAAACTTTAGAAAGCAGGTAGCCAGAGAGTGAAGAGAAGGCATGTTTTCTTACAGCCTAGGATTCTGTATACAGATATAAGGAACAGGTGAAGAGAGGAAAGAGGGACAGTGGCAGGGACCATGGGCCCTTTAGCACGGGGTGAAGAAGATATTTGCTACAAGAAATTTATGGACAGGTAACATGCTGGTCTTTTCTCATCATAGCCATCTGGCACAAGACCTTTTGCTTGGCAAATACCTCCAGAGGTATGCTTTATATATAATCTCCTAGTGTGCAGGTTCCTTAGCAGTCTTTAATTCTAAAAAGTTTCCTTTTCTAGATTTTTATACATATTTGTTCTTGAATGCTGGTTGTAATGCTCTGAAAGAATGATCAAAATAACAACTAGTTTCCAACCATAGCTAGCTACTCATATGTCCCATTGATTTCAGTGGGGCTTACTTCTAGGTGAGAGTTTTGGGGGTTAAATCTAATTCACTGAACCCAATTTCCTGTTGCAGATAGCCTGCAAGATGGAACACTGAGGATTTTTTTTTTTTTTAAACATTTATGGTTGATTTCAAGACAGTTTATAAGTAGCTGAAAGTTTTTTACCCAAACAATCAAAGATGATCCTTAAAAGCTCAGGGTACGATGGAATAATACTGAACTCTTACTTCCATTTCATTCATGTGCTTTATTCTGACACTGAACTCAGTGGCGCTAATCTTGGTGGGATCATACCCTTGTTTACTTTTCTCTGAGCCATAGCTCAGTGGTAGAACACGTGCTTCACATGCAGAAGTTCCCAGTTAAAGGATCAGTTCAAGGATGATGCAGGTGAAATGAAAGACAAGTCAGAGAAGGCAAATTAAGCTAGGTGGACCAATGGCCTGCCTCAGTATAAGGCAGCCTTGTGTGTTCATCTTGTCTGAGGTAACTAGAATGCCCTTGTCAGTTTTTCAAATCCACATGTAATACTTGATGTGATCAAAAGCAATCACAAGTCTTGTAGGCACTTGAACAGACTAACAGAAGTGTTGTCTTTCTCTAGTGGCCATTAGTGTTGTCTTTATCCATGAATGGTCATTAGGCTCTTGGGCTGCAATCCTGTTCTCATTTACCAAGGAACAAACCCTACTGTAAAAACATAGGATTACTATGTCAGTTGTTTTTGCTACAACAGATTCCTGTGGATATGATCAGTCTGATATCTGTCCATTGGATTCATTCATACCACCCTGAATCATTTTCTTTGATCACTTTAAATTTAGTTTTCGTATCTGCCCACTGAATGCTCCCTTTTCTTGCCTTGTTAAGGAAAACGGGGCATTCAGTGCAATTTTTATTTTTCTTACTTCATACAATCACAATCTTGTTTTATTTTTTTCTCCCTAAATCCCTTCACATTTCTTATCACTTTCATCCCGTATCTGTTTCTTTGGTAAATGGTTTCTTTTCATGTTGTGGATGGAAACAAAGAAGACAAAGAGAATGACTATTCTGGATGGAGCCACAAATTGATTTACATTTTTAAGCTATCCTTTATATTCCTTCTCTGTGTATTTCTCAAACTTTTCAAAAATAATTTTGTCAAAACTTCCCTTTCCTTCTCATTTGTATGTCTTGGAAAGAAAACCAACTAACATATTCCCTGTGACTGTTGGAACATACCTTAAACTCACAAGAGGGATTGTGAGTGACTAAACTCTAATACCAATTTGCATATCTAAAGTCGCAGCAATTTTGCATGGCTGTTTTCTTCTTTTTGGATTTCTATTATGCTGTCCTTTTTGTGTGCAAAATGTTTGTTATTCATAGCTGTGTTTTCTTCACACAGTGCGAGGATTAGAAAACCAGCTTCTGACAACTGAAAATCCATTGGCTTTCTTTCTCTCCCAACAACACAGATCTCTGACCCTTTCTACTCTTAATTATGCCCATCAACCTGCAGAATTATTATGACAGGAATGCATTTTGTTTAAAAATTGTATAAGAGAAAACAGCAGACCAAAAGCCAGAGGGAGTTATAATTTTTTTCTTTAAAAAGAAGAATTAATTTGGAAAGAGGAATTTTAACTTGTTATATTTAACTGTTGGACTACAGTTCTTTCAGAATCTGATGTTGCAAAAGCACATAATTCTTTGTTTCAAGAAAAGACTTTACATTTCTTGGGT